CAATGGCACTCAATAAAATACAACTTTTTAAAAAATATTATTCATTTGTTTCAAATGTTGCTGGAGGTACTTTAAATATGGACTTTACTACATGTTACTGAATTATTGTCACAGAGCTACATCTTTAAAATTAGAAATCAGGTGGTGCACTCCTTTAATTGTAGCACTTAGGAAGTAGACACAAGAAGATCTCTCTGAGATCAAGGCCAGCCTGGTCTACATAGCCACAGTGAGTTTTAAGCCAGTTGGGACTACAGGAAGACTCTGCCTCAAAACAAGCAAACAAACATACAAAAAACTCAAAAAGAAAGAAAAAATTGTAAATCAAAGGAAAACTAAATAAAAATAACACATTTATAACATTCTCTACAATCCAGTCCATTATCAAAGTTCAGAACTGCAATTTTTTTTCAGTCTCTTTCCCACCTGCTTGTGAGCATGGTCATATGAATTAATGTGGTTGTCAAATTCCTGATGTTTATAATACTGCTTGTCACAGAGTTCACAGTAAAAATTGGCCTTCAGATCCTCCAGAGCTTTGGCAATGGTGTTCTCCTTCTCAGCATAGTCCTGAAACATAAATTTCAAAAAGGCATACAATTAGCTCTCCCCTGAGTTTACTTTGTCTTAACAGTTATCAACTTCATTATAGTAATTAGTGCTACAAACAGAACATAATAGAACAAATGAAAAATAAGAAGTATAAGCACATCAAATTAGAAGAAATTATGAGTTAAAGAAAACAACCAAAATGGAATGAATAACAGAAATATGAATAAGGAAAGGAAGTAATATAAAGAAGATTATGCACTTGCTGAACAAATTCTCACTCTTTGTTAGCATCCAAACCAAAAATCCTGTAGCTATTTTGATTCAAATGCAGATTTATGAGTCTTGCTAATACAAAATCTTTTTTGTGTATGAAATCTAAAATGTGTCTTTTTAGAAAAAGTTTTTATTTATTCACAGCTACTCAGTTTGGTGTATTTTCTTAGCATATATATGTACATATTTGTATATATGTATGTGTGTATTCATTGCATTATATATATATATATATATTCATCATCACTGACTATCCATCTAAAGTAGATATTCTTTGTTTAGATTTAAACATGACTCAAGTCGATTAAATACCTTGAGTCTTTGGGGAAAAAAAAGACATTCTTTTGCAAATCATTTAAGTTCTTCATCTAAAATGGAAAAGATGAAACTAAGTAGCACATTACATCCACAAGTTTACTGTCAATAAAAATGGATTTTAAAACTCTACTTTCAAAGCATCCTTAGTATTTCTTTAGAAACCATAAGCTGGTAAGATATTTTTTCTATAGATTCAATTGTTTCTTTTTTTTAACCACCAATGGGGCAGCATTTATTCTTTTCCAAATGTTACAGTAAATCCAGGTAGAAGAGAATGGTTCATTTTAATATAATTTTATTTTACTTTTTTGTTGCCAGACATTTATACATTTTCCATGTTGAAACACTGGCTGATTCTTTGATGTGGTGATATGAGAAACATCAAGAAGCTGCTGTCTTCATCACAGACTGTACTATTTTTGTGTCCTACAAAGTGGACAATATTCATTTAAAATTCAAAATAAGTACATATGTGCTACTATGATAAAATTTTCAACACTGGGATTTGAGAAATGAAATGAGGGTAGTGGCATGGGCCTATTACCCCAGAATTGGCTGGGGTAGAGACAGAACTGTGAAGGTTGCTGGCCAGCTAGTCTAGCCTAATCAATTAGCTTCAGATTCAGTGAGACAACAGATCTCAAATTGTGAAAGGGTAGAGCATTATCAAGGGAAGACGCAATATCAACTGAGACCTTCACACATCCACACACTTTGTGTGTGTTTGTGTGTGTATTCACTTTTTGATGGAAACCCCAGATCTGCATAATTAAAAAGTTTCTATGAAACCAAGAAGTAGCTACTGATAATTTAATAAATTTCTAAAGCTTTCCTTATTTTATTGTAATGGATAAATACATACAAATAACACATCATAAATTTTATTTGATTTGGGGTGCATGTCTTGCAGTAGCTAAACTTTTATCAAGATATAAAATTAAATAGCACATTTTGTCTTTTATTCAGGAATAGTTTTTCATTATTAGTCTTATTTACTTTTATCAACTACAGAGGAAATAGTGAAAAATTTTATCATCATGTAAAATTTTGTGTATGAGCACATGACTTTAAAGTGATTAATTATCATACATCAGTAGATTTTTTTCAACTAATCACAATTATGATACTTTGTGATTTCTAAATTTTGAAACATTAATTTTTAAGATTGAGGATGGATCATTTTGATCTAGAATTCTTAGTGAATTTTCTTTGAATCATCAAAACTATACTTTGTAGGACTGGAGAGATAGCTCAGCAGTTAAGAGGACTTGATGCTCTTGCAGAGGACCCAGGTTTGATTCCCAGCAACCATATGGTGGCTAACGACCACCTGTAACTTCAGTTCCAGGGAATCTGATGCCCTCTTCTGACCTCCTTGGTCATTGCATGACATGCGTACACTTATATACATGCAGACAATACACTCATACACATAAAAGAAAAAGAAAAAAATTTAAATCTATGCTTTGCAAGCTAGTCAATTTATTTATTTATTTTAATATTTTTAATTTTTTGTGTGTATGAGCAGAGATCAGAAGAGGGTGTTGGATCCCCTGGAACTGGAGTTATGGATGGTTGTTAGCTGCCATTGTAGGAACTGAAAATCGAAACCTGGTCGTCTGCAAGAGCAGCCAGTGCTCTTAACCACCAAGCCATATCTCCAGCCCTGGCCAATTTAAATAATACCAAAATAATAATCAATTCCATGGCTTAAATATGTGAGTCTGAGATAGCATTACTATCAATACAAGGGATGTAGTAAAATGGAAATAGTGTATTATTTGTTTCACACCTGAATTTGCTCTCAAAATGATCTTTAACAGAAACTTCATCATAAAACTCCTTATTAATTACAATACAATTTACTTCCTAAATTTGTTTCTTTCATAATATGTTTAATTAATTCCAACAGTAACATTTCTCCAATGAGCAATAATTGTTTCTCACTTATTTTGATTACAAATTTAGAAATTTAGTGAAGCATGATGAGATTCTTAGGGAAACCACATCCTTCAAATATATTAACATCAGCATATATTAGACATGAAGATATTTTATTTTAAATCAATAATAGGTAATATTTATACAGTACCTGTTATAGGCTTAGGTACTTATTTAGAATTTGGGTGTGTTAATTCATTTAATCCTTCTTAAAATATTAGAGATATACATTATACTCATTTCCTCAATTTATAAATGAGAATATTAAAGTTCAGGGAATTTAAATAACAAACTGTATGATATAATGGCTAATTGTTTGGTCATTTTTAAACCTCAAAGAACCATGCTGGGAATGGTGGCACATGCCTTTAATCCCAGCACTCGGGAGTCAGAGACAGGCGGATCTCTGTGAGTTCAAGGCCAGCCTGGTCTACATAGTGAGCTCCAGGACAGCTGGGGCTACAGGGAGAACCTGTCTCAAAAAGACAAAAATAAATAAATAAAAAAATAAATAAATAATAAATAAAGAGAGAGAGAAAAAAATAAAATAAACTGTCTTCTATGAGTTCATCACTCAGCTACAATTACCTCCCCAACTTAAAAGTGGTCTCAGTTTATCCTAGTTCATCTCACCCCTTTAGAACTATAGTAAAATTACAAATTACAGCAATACCTTCTCTCTCTCCCCCCCCTCTCGTCTCTCTCACTCTCTCGCTCTCTCTCTCTGAACATTAGAAGATATGCAGCCCAACTAAGGGTAAGGTTGCAAAGAGGCATTGCAACAATTATGGATGAGACTTTCAGCTTGGTATGAACTGCAGTAAGGAATCAAAACATGAGCAAATTTGATTACCTTATTTTCATGTGTATACCATAGGACCATGAAGGCATATGTATTATTATTAACCAGACACTTTTAAAAGGTGATTGTATGGAGAGAAAAATCAGTTGTAATTTGGTTGTTTTTCCCAACAACTGTCTCTGCTCTTCTCCTGGATGATACTGAAACAGGCATTGGCTCATATCATGAAGAACATTACCACATATTCACCCCTGCTTTCCCATTGCAGAAGCTAAGGAGTATAATTGAATAACTAAGGACTTTCCTTCTACCCCCCTATATTTAACCATGAACACAATGTTGCAAATGTCTACTAAGTGTGAGGACAAAAAGGGAAGAATAAAGCTACTAAATTCATTCAGATCCACACCCATCAAGCTTTATACACAAATGGAGTATTCAAGAGTCAAATCTGAATATTTGCTTTTAGGTGGGCAATATGAAAGTCATGGAATCACAATCATAGAAGCCAAAGAAATATTGGTGTCAAGGGTTTAACTCAGTGGTAGAGCATTTGCCTATCATACATAAGGCCAGGAGTTTGATCCTAAACACAACAAACAAAGGAACTTTTCAGTTTGCAACTTTAATAATTTGGTGGTATAGCACATTTTATTGATCAGTAAATTGAAACAGAGAAATCAGTGGTCTATCCATGTCCTGAAGAATGCACCCTTCACCCTATTTTAAAAGTGAATAGTGTGAAGAGAAACCTCAAAGTTACAACATTTCTTCTCCAAAATGATACTTTTCACTGAGGTTTCATCACCATACTGAGTATCAAATAATACTCAGCCTCTTCCTAGGGTCTCCACAATTGGGCATCTTCAAGTAACGTTCACACATGAATGTGAGCTCTTTGACAGCAGAATTTATACCTCTTCTGTTTATTGCTGCATTTCCAGATGTTTTAACACAGCATGCTCCAGCATAAGCACAAGTCAAAAATAAAAGATAACAGCAGCTTTTTTATTTGAAAGTGGTTATGGAAAGAAAGCAGGATGATGTCAGCAAGATGGCTGAACAGAATATTTCAGTCTGAACCCAAATCTATACTTGAAAATATCTTCATAATCTATGGAAACCAGGTGAGAGGTTACATAAAACAGGCATGTATCATAACTCCAAACCAGTTATAGGCTAAGTGAAACCCAGCACCAACAAGGCTGGCAGCACCCCAACGTCTATCCGACCATCCATGGACTGAGCCCACTTTGCTGCCAGGCTGATTCTCATATTCCCAGGCTCCTGACATTCCTGGAGAACTCCATTTTGAAACTTGCCCCAGTTCCAAGTTAAACCCAGAGGCCAAGGCTCCAAACTGTCCCTAGTGTCAGGCACATCCCAGAAATGTCACACTTCAAGAAGGTAGCATCAGACTATTCTGTATGATCTCACAGCCATTACAGGATGAAAATGGATCACAGTCACCAAAATGAAACCTGAAGACCCAAACACATGGTAAGTCCCAGAGATGTGGGATTCAGGTTACTCTGTCATAGCAGGCCCCATTGGCACTATGCTCAGTCTTCTCTTGCCTTCAGACATCTTTCATTATAAGGTTATGAGACTGCCAAATACTAGGCTTGACCTCAAAGCTATGACCTATAGTCAGGTTCTTCAGTGTCTTTTTTTCCAGACACAG